AGCAAGAGGTTAATTCGTCCTCTTCAGGGGTCTTTTAGGGCTGAGAGTTCTTGTCTTCCTTTTGGAAGTATCATAAATTCTGGAGGCATCATAAATTAAACCGATTTCTGGCAGTCTGCATCCTTCTCATCTTCCTTGAACATAATTCCTAGAAAGAAAAGACGTTTCTCATTGTTCTTGGAAGAGTTGCACTGACTTTGTAGGAGGACATGGTAGGTTCATAGCAACTACTCCCCCGTGGCATGAAGTGCCTCCTCAGATTTCGTGTTCCACATGGGAACATCAGCATCGCCGTTGAAGAGTATTACATAGCAGAGATAACGGTTGGGTCAGTCATCTGAGCACTTCGAGGGCATCCCTTGTGTTTCAGCTCCAGACAAGTTGGCTTTTAGAAGTGGGGGTACACCGCCACAGCTGGAGGAGCCTGGGGACCTGCCAAGCTCAGGGGTGGCTGAGTTGTGGTGGCTAATGCACAGAGTCCCAGCTTCTGGATGCAGGGTTGAACATCAGAGAAGGAGGCGCTGAGCTCCACGGAAGCTGTTGGTGGCCCCTTGGGTCAGCAGCCTTTGCTTGAGCCTTCTTTCTCGGTGGCATTTGACATAATTGGTTGAGGCTTTGGGTTGAAGGCAAGTTTTGGGTTGAAGACAAGCTCAGTTCCCGTGTGATTAAAGCCAGTGGGTGGGAAGAGCCATCCTCCATACCTGTCTTTTCCTGGGCTGTCACTGCAAACCCTGACTCTTCCTCTGCTTTCCCCTGCAGATGCCAGTACGTCACCTGATGCCGTGAAAAGGAGCCATTGGTGCAACGTGGCCTATTGGGAGCACCGGACGCGTGTCGGCCGCCTCTACACAGTGTACGAACAGTCTGTCAGTATATTTTATGACCTACCTCAAGGAAACGGCTTCTGCCTCGGACAGCTAAACCTGGAAAACAGGAGCGAGACTGTGAGAAGGACTCGAAGTAAAATCGGCTACGGGATTTTACTAAGCAAAGAACCGGACGGTGTGTGGGCTTACAACCGCAGCGAGCATCCCATCTTCGTCAACTCCCCGACACTGGACATCCCCAACTGTAGGACTCTGATAGTGCGCAAGGTGATGCCGGGCTATTCCATCAAGGTGTTTGACTACGAGAAGTCCTGCCTCTTGCAGCACACGGCGGATCTGGATTACGCGGACGGGCCCTACGACCCGAACAGCGTGCGGATTAGCTTTGCCAAAGGCTGGGGGCCGTGTTACTCGAGACAGTTTATCACGTCATGTCCTTGTTGGCTGGAGATTTTACTCAGTAACAATCGATAACGGTCAGCCTCTGACGAAAGGAAAAAGAAAAAAAAGACACAGACTATCCCAAATATCATCTACCTAGATTTAATATAAAGTTTTATATATTATATGAAAATATATATTATACTTGTAATTATGGAGTCATTTTTACAATGTAATTATTTATGTATGGTGCAATGTGTATATGGACAAAAAACAGAAAATGCACTTTGGCTTATATAATTCTTTCAATACAGATTTTTTTAAAAAAGAAAAATTATACAGCAAAAATAGGAGAAAGCCCTAATTTTGATGTATGGTTTTTTGAAATATTATTAATACCCAGACAAAAAGCTAATACCAGTCACTCATTGATAATAAAGTATTCGCATTATAGGGGGGGGTTTAAATTGTCTTTTTTTCCCCCCTCCTGCTCTGACTGAGGTCCGCAGCAATGTCTGCTCGGGCACTCGGCAGTCAGGGGGGATTCCAGAGGGGCGACCGCTGTCTCCCATCTCAGCCAGGACCCTTAGAAAAATGAGAACTGAGTTACTGGCAGGCTGCAGTTGTCTCCAGGAGGAGGGTAAATGAGGACAGTTTGAGTGCCAGGGAGCAAACAGGGAAGGTGAGAGGAAGATCTCCCATAGCTGTTCTTGCTCAGGTTTCCATGATCTCTCTGATAACACAAAACACGATGGGGACATCGTGAAGATGAGTGTGCATTTTTATGTTCCTGCAAATTGAGGGCTGTCGGTGCTGGTGGGAAGAGCAGAACAGACCATGGTCCTAAAGCTGCCCGGTAGGACCGGTTTGCATTATCAGCCTCGCATGGGGCTTGTCTCTCCGAGTCCGGTACCTCCCGGATATGTCTGATGGTTGAGAAACAAAACGGTGGTTTTGGACAACTCATGGTTGGGTGGATCCTTGGTTGGAGACGCTGTAGCGTGGCCTGAGTTTTGGGAACCTCTCCAGTAACTTGAAATAAGGCGGAGGTGAGTTGGACAAGTTGTGCGCCAGATTTGTCCTGTAGATCTCCCGGTCTGTCGTCCAGGCGATAAACTGATACAGAATTGTTTGGGAAGAATAATGTGCTCTGAGGAGCAGCTGCAGCCAGAAGAAGTCCTGGTCAAATGAGCTTGTCTCGTCTGATTTACTCTCTCTGGAAATCCTGGATAAAATCAGGCCCTTCGCTGACTTCTGCGTGAGCTTCGTTGCTGTCAGCGCTGTAGCACCCATGCGCTTGCGTGGGCAGGTTGGACGTTGTCTGGCTTCGCTTGGTTAGTAAAGTTATTTATTGCCAGCAACTAGTGTTGCCAAGTCTTAGAGCTGTATTACAAATCCCTGTACATTTGATTTTCATAAAGTCCTGGCCTCTGGAGTCCGGTGACTGCAAAAGCACCTCAACTTCCAATGTTACAGGGGATGTTTGTAACAGCCCTCAACGTTTGCAGAGAAAAACATGCAATGGGACCTCCTTCACGGCTCCAAACCCAGACAGTAAGATAGGGCATAAACTTAGTATTAAGAAGCCCTCCTGAGGCATGTCGGGGTCATGCATTTTGGCAACTGGACTTGGCGTTTCTACACCAGCCACGAGCGAGGATGGGGCAGGTGGGGACCGCATCCCACTGGGGAAGGGGACTGCGTCCCACCAGGAAACACGCAGACCTGGGCTGGATGTCGGGGAGAGACGCGAGCAGGGATGTCGCAATGACATTTCCACAGTCATTTTTCAAATTATAACCATGCTTGATACTTAATTGGGACCACATTGGTTGAGTTCATGCAGCATCAGTATTAATACTTGACATCATTAATTTTTGTTTGTGTTACAGCCATTGTTGTCAGGGAACGGTGTCAAAACATGTCACTATCGTTTAAAGCCAGCTTTCGAGAGCTTTGCAGGTTTTTTTTATCCCCTTTGGCTTAGATTTGCCGTGTCCTCACTCGCTGTATCACTTTCACACAGTCGGTTAAGAGGCTGTTTTTATGTTTGGGGATTTTTTAAAGAGATTTTTGTTAATACCGTCCTCATTTTAACTGGGAAGAACCAGCCAAAAGCCGAGTTGCTTCTCCCTGTTTCCTTTTCTCCACTCCTCTTTTCTGGCATTTCCCACCACCACCCAGGAGGTTCCGCATTCGCATCCCGAGCTGGCTGCTGCCTTCCTCCCTGCCCTCCTCCTTGCACGCACGCGCGCTGGATGCAGCAGTGCTGTTTCTAAGCGCTTTCTAACAGCTTCTTCCATATTTTGGACAAAATAACATCAAGGGTAGACGTTCTTGTTTGCTTTCGTACCACCCGTGAAAGACCTCGTCCCAGGGCCCGCGGAAGCCGTCGTTCTCGTGCCGCTGGTTTTCCCTAACTTAACTCTTTGCGTTTGCAGTGTGGCCGGGCTGGTCGGGCGCCTTTCAGCTCTGCTCTGGTTTGCATCAGTGAAAGGATTCTCATCTGTTGAAATTGTTAACTTTGGGGTTTCCCTTGTGCAATCCGCTGATTGTGCTTAATTTTTTTTTTTTTTAATTACACTTCTCCAGGAATAAATCTGGACTTCTATTTCAGCTGACAGCGAGGCTTTAAAGGGAATAAAAAGAATTTTATGGTGAGGCAATGAAGTATTCTTTTCTGCCCGTTTCTCCCCTTTAATACCTTACTGTAATCGTTCAAACTTGGGACTCTTTAGAGGTGCTTCCAAACTATTGAACTCCACGCGGGACCCTTGCAAAGCTCAGCTGACGCCTTCTCCGCACGATCCCCTGCGCTAGGGTTGGACCCGGGGGCTGTTGGTGACCGTAAGTTGGCACGTGGAGCAGACTGTGGGGTGGCTGTGGATGGAGGGGCCCTTCATGCGGAAAAAAAAATTACTTCCCTGCCAGGGCTTGCAGGAGCAGCTGGGCATCGTTGGGTTTTGCTAATGACCTAACGGGTCTCTCGTGTGCCCACAGCTGCCGGCGTTTGTGCATTGCCCCAGCCCCTATAAAACCAGGGTGGCCATGACCCTCTGGGCAGCCTCCTGGGATCCTGCAAATGTGGCTCCTTTGCCCTCCTGGAACAGTCATGGTCTTCTGATGCCCGAGGTGAGTGGCACGTTCTCTATCCTCGTTCCCATAAGGACTATGTGGGGTCGCACCCCCTTTTTTAAGGGCAGAAATGGGAGCAGTCCCCTGGCAGGAGGGTGTGAGGGATGGGTTGAGGTGTTTCTGCCTGGGCTGTGCTTGGACCGAGCTCCTGCTGCTGCCCAGGTGCCCTGGTGTTGGGTGCTGTGTGGTTTTGTGTGCTGGCCTTTGAGCTGGAGCTCGTTTTGCTTTTTCTGGGGATGGTTGCTGGGTCATCCATGTGATGTTGTACTTTACCACCAAGTGCTCTTTTTAGAGGGATTTGCTTGGCAGAGCAGAAGCAAAATGTCTTTTTTTTCTTCTATATTAGTGCTGGGATTTCTGCTCTGCTGTTACAGGGAGTTAAGTCTCTGAGTGGAAGGAGCTGGACTTGCCACCGCTCTGTAGCATGGTAGGATCCCCGTAGCACCCCCAGCCCTGCACAGTCAGAAGATACCAGAGGTGGGGAGCAAACGCCTCTCCCCCGGCGCTGAAGGGCTTCAGTGATGAATGGCCCTTGGGGTTTGCTCCAGCTCCTGAGTTACTTGTGTGGGTGGAGAGGTTGTGGTTTTGTTATAGGATGGAGGTGTTGCACGGGCTTGGTGCCTCAGCTTGAACCGGTGAGCCTCGCCCCTCCGAGGCAGTGACTGTCTCGGGTGGAGCTTCCCCGGATCACAGCCCTCAAGTTTCCTTGTCCATGAGCAGTAAGATCTTGATCCTGTGGAAAGAGCCCAAAATGACTGATCTGCTCTGTGGGTTGTCTGCGGAGGCAGTGAGACACGGAGATGTTTAAGGTGTTACTCGGTCGGTGAAAGCTGGTGGACATCCTCATCTGTGAGCGCCCAAGCACTGATGGAGGCATCAGCTGGTCCCCCGTGGTGTTACGGGTGCAACCAGGAGGCTGAAGGCTGTGGTCCCGTTTCTGGCTGCCCTGTGCCGAATACACCTAAGGTCTGCTCAAGGGGAAGTCCTGAATTAGTAATGCTGGTGTTGGACCAGAGCCCTTATGGGTGGGCATTCATTTGTGGAGTGTGTTTATTTGATAAGATCCTCTTAATTTGAGTAATATTGCATTTTAAAACTGTGCTATAGGCTGGCAAGAAGCAGCCTGTGGCCGCTGGTAGGTGCAAGGCAGCCGCTTTTCCTGCGAGAAGACGTTCATCATCCCTGTCCTTGATGTTCGTTGCTGCCATGACTGAGAAATACTCTTTAGTAGCCAGAATGGGAAAGAAGCAAATTCCCAAAGGAACCACGCTCGGCTGCTCTTAGAGAGACTCGGATCCCTTTGTGGCACAGGTTTTTTCGCAGTTCTGCAGAGTCTGTCAACCTCTAGCCCACAATCCTTCTCAGGATTTTACCTCTGCAGAAAAAGTGTGAGGGACTTGTTCAATGCACCATTAAAAGCTGAATATTGCCCCTCCCATGCTGGCAAGGGAAAAGCAAAAAGTTGCTGTTGGTGCAGAGGATGGAGCTGGACGTCTCCCTCAGTTTGCTGCTGCTTGACTTCATGGTCTTTGTAAGTGATGGATCATCTCCAGCTTTGTGTCTGGGGCACGAATTGGTGTTTTTAGCAGGGTGATAGAGCTGCTGAAGTGCTCACGTGCGTACCTGTGCTTCCCAAAGCTTCAGTGGGTCCTGCGGGCTTGGACTTTCTGCCTGCTCCGGTGTTGTAGCTGTGTCTGGTTTCGAGCCAGTGGGTGGGACTGAAGCAGAGGAAGAGCTTTAGCAGCTGCCCAGGACGCGGCGTGGTCTCGCGCGTGGCCAGCGTGGACCACAGCCTTCCTGGAAAGCAAAAATAAAGATTCATCTCCATTTCTCCTCGCTTGAGGTGGGCTGGGTTGCTGAATCTGGCGAGCCCCCAGGAAGGGGGGGTGTGCTGGGGGTGACGGAGCGTCGCGTCCCTTGGTGCTGGGTGGCATCCCGGGGCTGGTCGCGCAGCCGCTGTCCCAGCGCTAGTGGCCCGAGATTGGGTCCAGGAGCCTGAGAC